GGGGGGGGGGAGGGACCTGGAATACCTTCCAGAGCTCAAAAATACTTAACTACATTTTCAACTTCTTTAGTTTTCTCAGTTGTTCTCTTCTGCTTCCAATCACCCGTCCATATGATGTGTGCTTGGGAGATCTAAACCAAAAGCATAGCATTAAGTATTCAAATTTGCTATCCCTAAAAGTCAATTTTCAAGTAAGGCGCTGAAATCCTTTGAAGGAGTATGTTGAGGGCAAAGCCTAATATGCAGTCTCTGCTGAAGTTTTCTTACTAAGTTTTTTTGTCTTTGTTCTGAGATCTGCTGCAGGATCTGCACAAATAAACTGCCCTGATCTTTGCAATTGTAGAAAAAAGATGCACTTGTAGCAAGCATTTTGATTTTGTATCAGCTTATTAAACCAGTCACTCTATGATTGAAATAACTTTTGTATATATACTTTTGTATATATCCTATCATTTTCAGTGATAGTTTCTCAGTTTGAATCAGTTGGGGGTGAGTAAGGAATTAAGGACATTCATAGTTTCAGTTGGCTTGATTTTTTTACGGTTGTCCTTAAATGAGTCATAGTGTTTAGCAGTCTAGTTTGGCTCATGTTTTCATTGAGTCAAGATATTGACAATGAGACTTGCTACAAAATTCTGACAAAAGACTGTAGTAAAATCATTATCAACTAAAGTCCTTTTTTGGTGCAACTTCAGTTGCTTCAGTAACTCAGAGTCTTTGGGCTGCTGGATGCCCAGTGTTTAGCTGTGAGATGTTTTTGTCTTAGCAGTATGTGTCTAAGAAAATTTTCCCCACCCCAGTATTTGAAACACTTCTGATCTTCTTATACATTCATTGAATTGAGTTCATCAGAGCTTGTTACGGAGAGCTAAGGCTTGGATGGAGGAAGAGATGTTACAGCAGAGCAGATATTATCTATCTTCCCCTGGGAGTAGGTGTAGTAGGCTAAGTAGTATGAGGCAGCCAAGAGTTTTGGTCATTCTTTTTATTACTGTAATGCCATGAGTTCTTTCTCTTTACTCTTAGTGTCCCTAATTTAAGAAGTAGATGAGCATGACTTCTACTGCAGAAATGTAAAATGTGAGAACTAAAAAAAAGTCTGATAATGACAGACTAATTTTTTTCCCCAATTTGTATTGCCTTTTTGAATTAAAATAGCAAAGCTGTATGTGATTCCTGATTTCTAGTGTTTATTTGCTGGGTTGTAAGCAGTGGTACATTTCATGGCACACAGTTATAGGGTATTTCCTAAAGTTTTAAGTATTTTAACTTTGATTGTAATGTATGTAATAGCAGCTAAGAGGATGAATGTTACTTGGGCCTGCTGTAGTATCTTTAGTAAATGCTAGAATCAAGATTGTTATTGCCTTTTTCCCCTCTGTTTTACCTTTATATTTTTGTATGTGTTTACATATTTTAGCAATGTTAGAAGGTTTATGGCAGTATTTTGGGGTTTGTTATGCCTGCAGATTTCATACCACTAGTAGTTGACTATTAGGATGATGTTCTAGAGATGGTAGATTATTTGCATTACAAATGATCTGTTTCTTTTTGAAGCCAAGACTCTGTAGGGAATCCAAATAGCTGATTTCAGGCCACTCAGAAACAGCTTTCAGAATGGTCAGCCAGCCATAGATACTTCCCATTTAATGCACTATTATTGAAGCACACTGCAGGGCCCAGCAGCTCACACCAGCTCCTGAGGGTAAAGCAAATTAAAGAGAATTATTGATGCACTGCCAAATGTTTGATGCTTAATGACAAAACCATCATTCTGTCTGCTCTTATAGCCAATATAAAGATGTTTTTCCAGAAAGTGGTAGGCCCCAATATGATTAAATACAAAATCTAAATATTAATACCAGATTAAGCATCTATGTGTTATATTCTACAGCAGTTTATGATATAGTGGAAGATAATTTTAACTGAAATGTGTAATTTAAGTCATCAGGCTGTTTTAAGCTGATGTGGAACATAAATTAAGATAAATCTGATGAAGCAGGTACTCCATCCATTTCCAAGACCCCATCCTTTTATAACTTAGAAATATCTAAGTTCCACTACATTCATTGCTATTAAAGTCTTTGGTGGGTTTGGTGTGTTTGATTTAGCAATTCACTTACCTTAAAAATTATGCACCTCTAGGTGCAATACCTAGTAAAAGCAGCCTTCCATATATAATTACAGAAGATCTTTCTGCATATACATTATTAGGAAAGTTTTGGTCTGGGGTTTTTTTTATTTGTAGGGTTTTTTTACAGGTTTTTGTTTTGTTTTTTTTTGTCTTTTGTGTTAAGCAGCAATGTTGGAAACTCAGTACCATGGATTTCCTATGCTCTCTTCTCTGTGAGTGAATATTGCAATATAGAACAACACATGTTTCTGAAGGAAAGTTTGTATTTTGAACAGTTTCTATGAATTCAATATTAGGAGTTACAGTACAGAATTCTTATGAATTAAAATATATATTTGGTCTTTAATTCTACTGCACCATTATTTCCTTTGGGTTTTGAGTTAAAAAATAAAAAATAGCTGGTTTGAATAAATCTTTGTGCTTCCAAACAGAAAACTTTTCACCAGTGAAGTGTTGAGAGGTACTTTGCTAGACAGACTGTTTAGGGAACTATTGTTCTTTCTTTGAAAATGTCCATGAGTGGTACTCTCATTCACTACTGTGAGCTGCTGATCTCTCTGTGTCTGGCCATTCCTGTAATGTGTGCTAATGTTAGGTCTTCAGAGAGTTACTTAGATTGTATTGCTACTGTTCCTTTAAGTAAAATAACACTACGATAACAAATTTGGAAATTCATAAATGAACTATAAATGAAACTGTAAACAAGCATGAGGATTTCATTGCATTCCTGCTATTTTGCCTAGGGGAAAAAAAAAATGTTGGTCTAAAAGAGTTATCATTGGATAAAATAAAAAGTGGCAGTTATTTGGAGGGGTTGTTGATGGCTCTCCTCAGGAGAGCCATT